GGGGGGGGAGGGGGGAAGGAGAGAGGAATTAAATATTTGAAAATGCAAGAAAATCTTTTTCCCAGCAGAAAAATAGGAATAAAGTTTCAAAAGCTTTTAACCCCCCCCCACTTTTGCATCTTTCCTAGTGGGGAAAATAAAAATAAGTGCAAAGAAATGGGGCTTTTAAATCACCTTTAAAAAATATCTTTGCCTCTTTTTTTTCCCAAAGGAAAAAGCAACATTTTCTCTGCTCATCTCAAATGAAAAAAAAATGGATTTTGTTTTCTGTAAAATGTTTCATTTTGGAATGTGTTTTGGGGGAGGATGGGCAAAGGAAAAAAAAAGGAACAAAAATATTGTTCGTTTCATGTGCAAAATGTTTAGAGCTTCATAGCTTCCAAATCCAGCAGGGACTATCTGACCTCTTGTGTCCCAGCCAAACCCAAATGCTTCCCAGAATCGATCCTTTAGTGAGAGAAACATCCAGGTGTGATATAAAATGGGTGGTGCCGGAGTCCCATAAGAAATCGCTCTCCTGGCTCCTTCCTCTCACTGACAAACAATTGTTCCTTTCCCCTCTGGCTTTAGCTCCTGCCCTTGGGTCAGGCTCGTCCTTCCCCTGTGAGATCAACGCGTCCCTTAGTAAATGTGGGGTCCTGGGGAGACATTGATAAACAGGGATCACATTGTGCCCGAGCCTGCTTTGGGCCTCCCGGACTCTCTCACTGGAAAGCACTTTTTCTAACCCTTTCATTAGCCTCGTGGCCGGGGGAGGTGGGTGAACCCCCACTGTGGGGAGGCAAGTCCGCCAGCCCCGCCCCTTCTACCCCAGGCCACGCCCCTGCTGAAGCCCCCGGCCTTCTCAGTCTGCCGACTCTGCGCATCACTCCTCACTGCCCTGTCCCCAGGAAGGGGAGCAGGGAGTAGCGGGGACCTTTGGGGGTGGGGGGGGCAGGGGGAGAGCCCCGTGGCTCCATGGCTCTTTTAGAGAAGTGGAAGGGCTGGTTAGCTCGTGTATCTGGGGCTGGACGCCACCCGGGTGGAGTTAGTATCTAGGAATTTGCTTCCCATGGTAGAATACAGAACTGGCTCCAGCCGAAGGCCCATCACCGGGGAATTCACACCCTGCCGCCTCCAGGGAATTCACACCCCTCCCGGGGGAATTCACGCCCCGCCCCTGGTGCCTCTGAGAGGCAGCGCTGTCGCACTGCAAGCTGAGTCCGAGTGTGGAAAAGTATCTGCTAACGAAAGGACGGAGGCCAGGCACCAGTGCCCAGGGAAATGCCACCAGCGGGATTTGCAATCGCAGAACTGGGAGCAGGCTGTGAGGCACATGCTGTGCCCGGGCACTGGGCGCTCCGCCTGGAGCCTGGCAAGCTCTTGTCAGGCTGGCCAACTCAATCAGCCGCCCACTCCATGTGCCCACGGCCGTGCCATGCAGCCAGCGCAAGCGCAGAGACAGCCCCGGCCCTGCCCGCGTGGTGCTGGAGCAGAGCGGGTTGCTCCAGCCGGGACTGTCAGGGGCCGGTGGCAGCGCAGCACCTTGCACACGTGCTGGGGGGCTGTGAGATCAGTGGTGATCAGGCACGACCCTCTTTGGCACCCCGGTGGCTAAGTCCCAGCTGGTGCTGGGCGACCTCCGGCCAGGTTACCCCAAAGGGTTTGCAAGCTGAATGCAAGAGGGGGGCTGAGACTGGGGAGCACAATGAACCAGGAGCTGCTCTCTCTGCACTTTGCTTTGTTTCCCCTTGTGAGGGGGGGCGGTCACAGAAGACCCCTTGGGGCAGCTTCCTGGGGTGCTGACACGGCCACTGCCACTCACCTTCCTGCTCTCTGGGGCTTCTCACCACCCAGACCTGCCGAGCCAGCTCCCTGGCCAAGGTCCCGAGCTGAGATCCTGCCCCCCCGAGAAGCAGCACAGACACTGAACCTCTTCAGATCCAAGGAGAGTGCAGTTTTGGGCCCAGCCTCCTGGGATACCCCTCCCCAAATGGGGTCAAACCCCAATGAACGATGCGGGCAAGTCCCTTTCCCCCTTTCATTGCTAATGTGCACACTGGTTGCTCCCCCAGGTAATAATTAATTACGCTGGGCTTGATAGAAAATACAAGTGACTTTATTAAGTACAAGCAGTGGGATTTTAGTGGTAATAGGTGAGAACAGGCCGAGCAAAGTAGATTCCAAATGAAAGAAAACAGAAAACGCGTCGCTAACGCTGCCACAAGCTCCTCAGCACGAACTTATTACAAACTTACTACAAACTCATCCGAAAGCTGCTTCTTTCCCCGCCAAGCCTTCCAGCCCAGGGCAGTCTCCCTTTCCCTGGGGTCCCTGGTCCCCTCCTTTGGGTGTGTCACACCCACCAGCCCAAAGACCCCAAACTCCTATTTTCCTATTGTTTTGAAAGATTTCCTTATTGCATGGGGAGTCACCTGGCCCGTCCCTACCAACGCCTGCTAAGACTTAAGGCCAAAAGGCTATTTGCATATGATTGCCTGGACATGGAGGCCTCCCAGCAGTGGGACCACCCTTGATGACTTTCATTCCCACGTTTAAAACCCATAAAACATTCTGGGCCCACATGTCTAATGTTACACACAAGAATGATCCATTCACCAAAATCAGATGAACAGATCCAGGTGAGTAAGACATGAAGATAGGCAGGTTAAATGGAGTAATTTGCTCGAAGCGTCTTTGAGTGACATACATTTATGTCCACAAGTCCATTTCATAAAGCATGGGGTGGGGCTGTGAACCGTCACACCCCTCATTGGCCAGAGCGAGTCCACGGGAAGCCTCAGGCCTGGATCCAGCCTGCCAAGCTCAGGGACTCAGAGGACAAACTGGAGAGGAAATAGCTCCTGTGGCTCTTCGAAGCCCCACCCACTAAAGAAGCTCCACCCACACAGTGGGCAGGCTCTCACTTGTGTCTGCCCCCTTGCCAGTGCCAAGTTCCTAACCGATCTCATGACCCTGGGGCACCATGAGTTTGACTTGCTCTGTGGGCATCTCCTGGAGGCACCTACAAACATCTCAGCCAATGACGTCTTCTGCAGCTCATGGAGTTGAGTGGGTGCCTGGCCAAGGACATCATCCACCACCTGCAGTGGGTGGGGGGGGTCTCATGATGTCACGAGTGGGTGGAGCTTGAGTGATGGGCACGGCTCCCACCGGGGTGCTTCCCAAAGGACATTCCTGGCTCTCATTGGAGGGCGACGACGGCAGCCAAAGAAGGGCTCAGCCCTGAGTCCAACCACCATCTTGAAGAGAGACCCAGGGTGGAGACTGGCTGTGCTCCCCCCCTCCCAACTGTCCTTGAAGCCCTCTCGGGACAGCTCAGCCCTGTCCAACAGCAGCCACCCGCCCGCTCCCCAGCCGACTGTCCAGCAATTTCTCCAGCTGTCCGCCAGGTCCTGTCTGCACGGAGCTTCGGGCGCCGGATCTGGGGATGGAAAGGCAGGGCCCCCTGGAGGTTTTTGCCTTTGCTTGCAGCATGGGTCATGGGTCACTTGTGGATTTAAACTAAATGGTGGATTCTCTGTGACATGGAGCCTTTAAACCATTGTGATGCTGCACCCCTGTGTTTCTTATGGAAATGTGGGTTTGAATATGAATATGCATAACTCAGACATGCTTTATGAAAATGGGGCATATAGAATCCTAGGATCCCAGAGTGGCAAAGACCTCAGGAGGCATCGACTCCAACCCTCAGCCCAAAGCAGGACCATCCCCAACTCAATCAGCCCAGCCAGGGCTTGGTCCAGCCAGGACTTAAAAACCTCTAGGGATGGAGATTCCACCCCCTCCCTAGGGAACCCAGCCCAGGGTTTCCCCACCCGCCTAGTGAAAGAGTTTTCCTAATATCCAATCTAGACCTCCCCCCCTGCAACTTGAGACCGTTGCTCCTCATTCTGCCACCTGCCACCACTGAGAACAGCCTCTCTCCAGCCTCTCTCGAACCTCCCTTCAGGTAGTCGAAGGCTACTGTCAAATCCCCCCTCACTCTTCTGCAGACTAACAAAACTCAGATCCCTCAGCCTCTCCTCTTAAGTCATGTGCTCCAGCCCCGTAATTATTTTTGTTGTCCTCCGCTGGACTCTCTCCAATGTGTCCACAGCCTTTCAGTAGTGGACGGTCCAGAACTGGACACAATACTCCAGATGTGGCCTCCCCAGTGTCGAATAAAGGGGAATAATCACTTCTCTAGAGCTGCTGGCATTGCTCCTCCTAATGCACCCTAATATGCTGTTAAACTTCTTGACTATAGGGGCACACCATTGACTGATATGATCTATCATTGGAGAGTTTGTAATCACCTGAATGTTTTTATTGTATATCAAGTTAGAAATATGAAGTATAAGCCTGTTTTTATCTTTACATGTGCTAATGAAGGCCATTAGCAGTACTTAAGGAACTTTTAATGGCCCAGATCTTAAGATAATGATCTGGGAATAATCACGAGTCAAGGCCACTGGTCACTGGGCCAAAAGTTAGGGGGCTGTGACAAGAGCGGGCTGATGAGGTGTGCTCTGTGATGCACAGGAGGTCAGACCACATGCTCACAAGGGTCTCTCTTTAACGTCCTTGAGCATCTGCACCCAGCCACTGGATGTGTTTTTAAAGGCGGAACATTTATAGGGGCTTAAAAAACCCCTTTGTGAAAAGCACAGTCAGAGACGGGAAATGTCATTTCCAGCACAAACAGCCCGAGGTGGAGCGAGAGCTGAAATTGCAGGTGTTAGTTTCCTGACCAAAAGAACATGGAGAAATTGACCCAGATCTGCGAAATGGAGCTGAATCTGCATTTTTTTTTTTTTAAGCATTGCTGAAACAACATCGCTTCATTCTAATCCTGGCCTCTAGGTTTCTCCTGGAACATCCACGTTAATTACGCGCCTTCCTTAGAAATCATTTACTCTGGCAGCAAGCAAACGAACACGACTTTATGGCCTGCTGCGGGCAAGGCATTTGCCCCTTTGAAGTCGGAGTTGGAACAGACCTGCTGAGTCATAATTACAGCCATTGCGAGGGCCCACGCCACTTAGCAACTTCAAAGCCGGGTGCAGACGCCACTAATCCGGAGATTGCTTCCCTGGGAGGCTTTCAACCAACGGGCTGCATTGCATGGTGGGAAATGTGGGTGCTTCTTCCATAAGCCGTGGCAGCTGATTTGGGTCCCCGGATTTATAGCTTGTGAATGGCAAAGGCTGATTCTAAGATGGGGCGTGGGCAGCCCTTTCCCATGGTGCTGGGCAATTCTGGGGTATCAGGGGAGCCCGTGGACCAGAAACCAGCCTGGGGAGGTGCCCTGGATGGGGGCCGACAGTTTCAGAATGAACAAGAAGGAGAGTTTGTCTTTGGGGAAAGGTTGGCTTGGGGGTGAAGACAGTGGTCAGAGCCTAACAAGATCTGGTTTAAACTCTTCCCCCTTCTACAAAGTACCCTGTGTGAACTCACTTCAGTGCTCTGTGCCTCAGTTTACATGTCATAGAAATGGGGCTACTGATATTTCCACACAGGAGATATGGTGGGGGAGCGTTCCAAGCCCCTCAGTGCCATGCTGCATTAATGCTACCTTTGTAGCTATGAACAGACCATGACCCGTCCTGCTGCTTTGTCCAGTCTGTAGAACCTCCCCTGGGATCCTTGCCTTGGGTCAAGGCCCCTGAGTTGAGCTAGCACACCCTTAACGCTGCCCCTTGCATATATGCCCTTAACTCTGCCCCTTCAAACATTTCAAGCCTATATCTGGTGAGTGAGCTAGAGCAGAGCTTTTAGAGACGTCAGAGCTCAGTGGGAACTCTCCAAAGGAGGGAAAATCATCCCTATTCTTAGGGCACATGTTTCAAGGATCAATTCTCCCCACTGAGGGTGTCTGCCCTTTGTTTCAGGTCTGGATTTGTCTGTCCACTGTCAGCGCTCACTTTGCCTTTTTTTGCCAGGTGAAAGAGTCCTCTGCCTCCCAAAATCTCCTCCACAGAGTGCTAGCAAGAGCCAGCAAACGAATCACCTCTTTGCTGTCTCCAGAAGAAACTCACTTCATTGAGCACCGTCAGTGTCTGGCTCGCAGGCTGGTTTTCCAGCCCTTGGATCACTCCCACTCTTTGCTGAACCCCAGTTTCCTGACGTCTTGTTTGACATGCAGATCCCCAAAGCTGGGCATATGCTCCTCTTGAGGCTGGATGCAGAGGGGCCCAGCTGCCTGGCTTCTACTTGCTACCCCGCACTGCTACAGCTCAGGGTCAGGCTCACCCTCTTAACTCATGGTTCCACCAGAATGTCTGGGTCCTTGCCAGAGCCACTGCTTTCCAGAGCACAGCGCCCTCAGGCTGTGGGTGTGACCCACACTCTTGGTAGCAAGGCACTTCTGTACCTTAGAACAGATTATTTCACCCATAGGGTCTGTCTGTCTTAGGGTACGTCTACACTTGCTCCCTAGTTCGAGCTAGGGATGCAAATGTAGGCAACCAAAATTGCTAATTAAGCGGGGATTTAAATATCCTGCGCTTCATTAGCATGATCTCGCCGGCGCATTACTCCACTCAACAGCTGTTTCGAAACTGTAAGTGCACCCGGGACACGTTAGTTTGAACCAGACCCCTTGGTTCAAACTAATGTTACCTCTCAAAAAATGACAATTAGGGTTGTCAAAAAATTAGAAGTAACCTTAGTTTGAACCAAGGGGTCTGGTTCAAACTAACGTGTCCCGGGTGCACTTACAGTTTCGAAACAGCTGTTGAGTGGAGTAATGCGCCGGCGAGATCATGCTAATGAAGCGCAGGATATTTAAATCCCCGCTTTATTAGCAATTTCGGTCACCTACATTTGCATCTCTGTTTTGAACTAGGGAGCAAATGTAGACGTACCCCCAGGTACTTATTTGGTCCTTCTCATCTTCGTACGTCATCACCGTGCAAACTTTAATGTATTTATCCTCACAGCTCCCCAGTGCAACAGGGAAGCATGCTGACCTCCAGCTTACAGATGGGAAACTGAGGCACCAAGTGACTTGCCCACAGTCACACGTGAAGCATCTGCATTAGAGTAGGGAATTTATCCCCCTCCTATGCCCCTTTGTGGTGAATGGGGGTGTGTGTAATACTCTTTTCTTACCCATTACCAAGATAGCTTCCCCAATTATCACCTCTAATACCATTAGCTCACAGACATCCCACTCTCCCCACCTCTAATATCATCAATTCACAGACACTTACCTTCCTTCTTTCCCCCCCCCCGCATCCCCCTCCTGTTCTGAAATGTGATTTGTCCTTTTCATGTGTGTTCATTTTTTTAATTGTATCCTTTGGTATATATGGTTGTGACTATTTTCTTCCACTATTTGATCTGAGGAAGTGGGTCTGGCCCACGAAAGCTCATCACCTAATAAACCATCTTGTTAGTCTTTAAAGTGCTACATTGTCCTGCATTTTGCTTCAGTTACTCTTTTCTGGACATTCCAACCATTCAGTTATCTAAAGTCTTTCCGCAGTGGTTAACTCTTGAGACCTAACCCTTATTATCTTGCCCGTAAGGGCTAAAACCATAAATAGTGGCTCCTCGAGAGTCCCCAGGAATTCTAGGGAAGCAGGAAGTGAGTTGGCAGGAGGCCAGGAGAGCCAATGGAAAGAGAGTGTTGGCTTTTGAACTGGAAACAGAGATCCCTTCTTGAGCCTACTGTGTGTCCAGAGCAGCCTTGAAGGACATGAAATAAGCCAGGGTGCCAAGCATGGAGAATCCAGCAACATCCACGCCTAGGGAAGGACTAACTCTTAAAACAACAGAGATGTGAGTAGAACAGGGGATGTTTAGTTAGACAGGATCAGGTGATTTTTTCTTTATTTGGGGGTTTGTTGGAGTTCTCTGTGTTGAGCCCATTGTAGCTACCCCCTTTACACGCTCCAAACTGAATCCCCAGGAAGAATTCTATGTGTTTGAATCCTTTTTTTAAGAACAGTTGCTCTTTAACACCTGGCCACCAAGTGCTGTGTCACCAAGTGTGTTTCCTTGCTTTGTTATTAAAAGTCACCCTTTTAAGACCATGCTCTGATTCCTGCGTCCTAGAAGACAGGAGGCTTCATATGCAAGTGCCTGAGATGGCAAAGCCAAACTGTTCAGAGAAATTACAATTTTTCAAGCTCCCTCCAGAGGAAGGGTGAGAGCGCTCAAGGGTAGCCACAGGAAGGAATTCACAAATGCGCCTTCCTGGGTTCTCAAAGGGGTTTTTGCTTTTGGGTGGTGGCAGCGATACCAATCCAAGGCCAGGGATCCATGTCCTTGGGGAGTGTTTAACACAAGCCTTTAGCGGCAGGGTATTTTAAACTCTTTTGTGAGCCCCCATGTTCTCCACGCAAAGTGCCAGAGTGGGGAACAGCCTCTACACCCCTTCTGGCCTTGGACACCACGGGTAGTGCTTTCGCAGCAATTAACAAGCCCTTTTGGAGAGCATTTCCTTGTGCAGGAAATGCCCTTGATACAACTTTTCCTTTGGCCTCGAGCCTGCGTCCGAATGAAGAGAAATTCCATTTCTCTGGCCAGCTCCACCCAAGAGCGAGATGCACTCGGGGGCTGAGGGACTGGAAGACCCATCACCATGGCAGCGCTGCATCCGCCGTTGCCCTGGAAACCGGGCGCTGCGAGGAGAGAAGAAGACGCGGAGGCATGGCTGTGTCCCTCGGCTTTATTGGGGCTCCCGGGGTGACTCACCCGGCCCGTATGGTTTGCTGGATCCAGTCAAGGTATTTGCTGACCTTGCTGTAGACACCCGGTTTGTTAGGCTGGGCGCATTCCTCCAGCCCCCACGACACAATACCCTGGAGGGACCTGCCGCACACCAACGGACCCCCGGAGTCACCCTGTGGAGACAGAACTTTGTGTCACTAGCTATGTGCTCCCTCCCTGACATGGGGGTGAGTGGGATGGGGAGATCAATGGCTCAGAGGGGAGGAAGCAGGCAAGCACACAGTGGTGGAAGATGCAAATATGCAAATCAACTGCTGAAATAATTTGCATAAAGCTGCACAAGGACCAGGGCTGGGTAGAACTCAGGCTGGCCCTGCCCTGTGTCGATTTCAGTCCAGAAGCCCCACCCCTAAAATCCCCACTGACCCTGCTCTGTTGGCCTCTGCATTCAACTTCTTCCTTGTTGCTGGGGCTCCTGGAAGGCCCAGCAGTGGCAGATTTGGTCCCCGATGCCCCATGTGTGAGGAATTGGCTACAATACTTCCCCCCCCAACACACACAGGCTGCTGCAACATCGGGAGGGGCAAAGCAGGGGGACCCCAGGATACTCATCCACTGCCAGCAGCAGGTCCCGATCCCCTTCCCGTCACAGCGCACCGGGAATGTTTCAATAAAATGTTTTGCAGGGGTGGGGAACCTATGGCCCTGGAGCCGTATGTGGCCCCTGACTTGCCTGACTCTGGCCTCCACACAAGCCTTTAGCCCTCCCAGCCTGCTCCTGTGCTCTCCTGCTCTCCCTCCTGCTCCCGGCAGCCCCCTCCCACACACTGAACCCCTCATTTTTGGCCCCACCCCAGGGCCTGAGGTCCCCCACAAAATCTACTAGTCCTGGCCCCACTAACACACGAAGGGAGCATCTTTCTCCTTCTCAGTTGGGGGGGCCAATGAGGTTTTTGGGGGTTTTTTTTGCTTCTCACTCTTGTGCGGCCCCCCAGCTGATTTTTCTGTGGGTCAGCGGCCCTCGACCCAAAAAAGGATCCTCACCCCTTTTCTATGGAAAAGAGGTGCTTCGTCAGCACTGACATTTGTCACGGGAAAGGGTTAGATTTGGCCAATTTTTCAGAAAAGAATTCCGGAAATGATCAAAACGCCCTGCTTCCACAATTTCAGAGGGAACCATTCCTGGTCCCCTGGTTCGAAACGACAGCTCGTTTCAAAGTTTAAAGCACCTGGTATCATCATTTCTTTTGTAAAGGGCCGCGACGCCAAGAAATGATTCCAAAACCGCTGGGAAAATCAGATTGTTGGCCTTGTGGGTTCGTGAATGTTTTCAAGAGGCCGATTTGTCCTCCTGGTTCAGGACAGGAAAAGTTTTGCGATGCTCGAAAATTTTCCCGGGACTGGATCCCCTTTCCCTGGCATGTCTACCCAACGCGTCCCCAATAAGCCCTCGGACCTGGCAGGAATCCGTGCCCCCTTGTGGCACGCCGGCACACAGCATGTTGTCAGTGATCAAGCCGGGGTAGGTTCTTCGACAGTCTGAATCGGAGATGATCTCGAGATTAGCGCACTGAAGCAGGGCTGGGAACGAGGCTGCTGGTATATTCAGGGGAAAAAGAACAATCAGCGGTAAACAGATCGGAATTCTCCTGCGCACCACTCTGGCTACGAAACGGGGAAATCACGGCACGTGGGGAATGAGCCGATAAGTTGGTTTTGCAGCAACACTTTTCAGCGTGCTGAACCCTGTCAAGAAACGGGGGCGTTTTCGGCCATTCTCCCAACTCCAAGCTTTTCTGGGTAATGGAGCTCAAAACTGCAAAGAGTTTTTCAGTGGGTTCAAATGGGGAAATGTTGTGGGGGAGGGGCTGGAGTGGAAACGACGTTTTATTTTGACATTTTGGGGAGATGTTGTGGGGGAGGGGCTGGAGTGGAAACGATATTTTATTTTGACATTTTGGAGAGGGTAAAAGGGAGGGGGAAAGTCTGAAAGTGAAAGGAAACTTTCTGAAGTGCTGTAAACGAAAGGTCACGATGGACCCCAAACTGATTTTTTTCATATAACAAGAATATGATTTTTCCTCCTGGTTCAGGATGGGAATTTTTCTCATTAGCTGGAAAATCTTTTAGGGGACGGGAATTTCCCATCCCCCCTCTGTCCCTCCTAGGTCCCATCCCGTCCCGTCCCAGCTAAAGGAGGTATGTGAGAAACTCAGTGTTCCCCTCTAGTGGCGACAGAACAGACTGCACTTCTGGCTAAGACAGCTGGGCCTTTTCACTCAAGCTGTAATAGCTCATGAGTTCAGATGCCAGAGGTCCCCGGTTCCCTGCCGTGCCACGTGGGTCAGCGTACGTTTGGGGGTGGTGGTGGTGCCCCAGCCGGACACCAGGCAGACGATTCCAGCCGGGGCGGCGGAGCTGGCCAGGGCGATGGGGTGCACGTTGTTATTCAGCTGCACGGGGCTGCTGAGTTTGATGAGCATGATGTCATTGTCCTTGGTGGCGGGGTTGTAGTTGGGGTGGGCAACGGACTTGGCCGCCATCTTGACCTGCTCAGACTCGTCCATCTGCCTCAGGTTGTACTCGCCCACACGGATGCTAGTGGTGCTGGAAGCAAACGCAAACAGCGGCTCTTGGGGGAAACTGACCACAGAACAGCTAAGAGATCAGGCTGCATGGGCTTGTTGTGCCGGGCGCAGCCCAGACCCCGGCCGAGATCAGGGCCCCGTTGTGCCGGGCGCTGCCCAGACCCCGGCCGAGATCAGGGCCCATCGTGCACATGGTCTCTCGCCAGGGAACAGGGCCCACACTGATTGCACCACGTGGCCTGGCAGAAGAAGGAATTGGGGTTTTGCAAGTGCGGAAGCAGCCGCTTTCCTGAGTTCTGGGTCAGGTACCTCCCCGGAGGTCGGGGAACTGAGGAGCTGAGGAAGGGTCGAGGCCGCAGCCTCAGGCGGACGGTTCTGACCTGAATGAGGCCCTGGAAACCCAGCAGCCAGACTCAGTCCTGGGCGTGGCCGGGTCGTACCTGGGTCCTTCGGGACAGCTCCTGGATGGTCCGGCTCAGCTCCTCCACGTGTTGCTGCGTCTCCCCGCCCCAGCCCCTGGCCGAGATCAGGGCCCTGTTGTGCAGGGCGCAGCCCAGACGCCGGCTGAGATCAGGGCCCTGTTGTGCCGGGCGCAGCCCAGACCCCGGCCGAGATCAGGGCCACGTTGTGCCAGGCACTGCCTAAGCTTGAAACACACAGAGATCAGGGCCCACCCTCTCCAGCTGGGGTCAGCAGCTCCCCCCCACTTACCCCCTCAGTACGCAGTGGGCGGCCGTCATCACCCACTCCTTGTTGATGAGCACCCCCCCGCAGTACAGCTGGTGTTCATTGAAGATGGCGGCCTGCCAGGGCTGGGGCTTCTCACAGGGGTAGCCCCCGACGATCCGCGTGTCCGTCTGCGCCAGGGCTGCAAGGGGAGAGCGACAGGACCCTGCTAGGCTGGGCTGGGGCAGGGCGCGTGCGTGTGACAGTCACTAATAAACACCCCAGGCCTCTACTAGGCTCACCCCTGTTTTCTGAGGAGCCCGCCTCGCTGACTGAGGGGAGTCACCGCTGAGTCACTCCAGGACAAGCAAAAGGGGAATTGGCCCTCACGGGAAATGCAAACAAAGGGGCAGGGACACACACATGCACACACAGACATAGATCCAGAACAGAGCAGGGATGGACAGGCAGCAGGGCTGGACAGGCTGACAGACAGACAGACAGAACAGGGCTCATCCCCTCCAGGGGGCAGCGCACACACACACACACACACACACACAGAGCAGGGTTCATCCCCTCTAGGGGGCAGCACACACACACGCACACAGAGAGCAGGGCTCATCCCCTCCAGGGGGCAGCGCACACACACGCACACACAGAGCAGGGTTCATCCCCTCTAGGGAGCAGCACACACACACGCACACACAGAGCAGGGTTCATCCCCTCCAGGGGGCAGCACACACACACGCACACAGAGAACAAGGCTCATCCCCTCCAGCAGGAGGGAGCAGGTGCGCACACATACACACGCACACGCACACACACACACGCACACGCACACGCACAGACACTCTCCCGCCTACCTGCTGGCACTAGCAGCAACACAATATTGAGCAGCTCCATGGCCATCCTGCCCGGGTATTGAATCGAGTTGCTCTGGCAGGTCACTAAGTGGGGGATCAAATGCAGATCATTCGGGGGGCAGGGATTCCCCCCTTACCACCCACAGCTGCTTTGCGCCCGCACCTCCTGCATCACTGGCTGTGCCCACAGTCCCAGCTGTGCCCACAGCCCCTCGCAAGCCATCCCTTGCTGAGCCCCGACAACCCCTCCCACTCTGTCCAAGCACTGCCCAGGAGAGCAGGGTCCGCTTGGCCTCTCCTTCCCACTACGTCCCTCTCTGACCCACAGCTGCAGCAAGATGGGAATTTTCTTCCTGGCAGGAGATCTCGAAAATGTGTTGCCATGAAAAGCCAATACTGTGAAATTTCCCAAGCTGAAATCTGATGGTCTTGGGCAATGTTCCATCCATGTGTGGAATAAATTATATTGCATGCACTAAGGCATGTGCGGATGTGCACCACCAGCAGAAACACACGCTACCAGCTGTGGGTGCTCTGCTAATCGGCTGGGCGGCATTTGAATCACTGCTGGGCAGTGCTCCGCTAATTGCTTAGGAAACACTGAACAGTCTCCCCACATCCTTTTCTCCAGCCCCCCAGCCTCTCCACCCCCCCAATCCATACTCCCAGGTTACTCAAGGAACACAAGGCCCCAGTCTCTCCCGCCTGCACCCCCAAAACAGCCCTCCCCGGTGCCCCTCCCCCAGCCCAATTCTCTTCTCTCCACTCTCCCCTGCCACCCTACCCTAGAACTGACTGCAGTGTGGACGCCCGCCCCTCATGTCAATTGTAGCGTGGCTGCCCTGCCTCCCCCAGATCAATTTCAGGTATTCCTCCATGGAGCCCACGAACCCATCACCTTGGCGACAGGCATCCTGTTGGGATCTGAACGCGCCCCAGGTGACAACCAGACCAATCCGAAGTCACACTCCAGGGGGCCGCATGGCAGATGCCCCATGGTCTGGTGCACGGTCCATTCTCCCTTATACTCAAGACCTAGCTCTGAAGCTAGCAGTTCTCTCAGGCCCTCGTGGTGCTGCCCAGACATGTTTCTCCCCTCCAGGTTGCCCCCCTGCAGCTCCTGCTCTCTCCTCTATCCCCTCCCCGCCCCCCGTGGCAGCTCTCCCCTCCCCTCGGTCATTAGGGGCAGTCTGACAGGCTATACGCTTTCTGCCTCTGACGACTCCACCCATGACAGGCAGCAGGGAAGAATCCTGACCCCATTCCTAAGTGTTCTCATCACAACACACCTTCCTGTGATAGTGACACATGGGCCCTGACTTAGCTGAGATTGGGGACCTGTTGCGCTGCAGACCTCATCTGTCCTGGTCTCCCTGACTCTGCGGTAGCCCAGTAGGTGATTGACCGGGAGACCAGGCATGAATCCAGCTGAACTTCCATTTCAATGAGTCAGCATTTCCTGGCCAGCTCTTGTCAGTATCACCATGCCTGTGCTACACGTGGGGAAACTGAGGCACAGACCAGCCAAATAAGTGGCCCCTGTGGCAGAGATGAGATTACAACCCAGGTGTCCTAAGCACTAACCCAGCTCAGTAGCTCTTCACGCCCCCAATGGCACTTGGACCTCTTTGGGGGCATGTTTGAGAGCTTGATTCTTTTCGCAGCTACACCAATGTCCCTGAGGTTTCCCCTTAACAAGTGAATTCCCTCACTGCTTGTATTTATCGTGGTTATTGATTGGGAGTGGTACAGGAGCAGCTGCAAGTGGCAGACAGGGCCCATGGTGCTAGGCGCTGTACAAACACAGAGCCAAAAGCTGGTCCCTTCCCCAAAGGCCTAGTGCCCTTTGCCTTCTGGTAGCCTGTTTCCAAAAGAATGACCCCTCCCCTATCGTCTGGGGCAGCTCTGGTCAGGGGGCATCAAAATCAGAAACCCAGAAATCTCCTGTTTCTCCCCTTTTCCCCATTAGAATCTGGGCATGGCCTGTCCTCCGCACATGGATCTTTTAGCAGTGCCAATGTCAGGGGAGAGAGTGGGGGTATGAGTATGGGGATAGATAGATAGATAGATAGATAGATAGATAGATAGATAGATAGATAGATAGATGGAGGGGGTGTGGGGGATAGATAAATAAATAAATAGGCGGGTGGGGATAGCTAGCTAGCTAGATAGATAGATGGATGGGGTGGGTGTGGATAGATAGCTAGATAGACAGAAAGGGTGTATGAGAATAGATAGATAGATAGACAGAGGGTGTGTGTAGTAATAGACAGAACGATCAATGGATCAATAGATAGAGGGTGTGGGTGGGATAAATAGACAGACAGATAATAAAATTAGTCCAGCTAGTTAAGTCCAAAGCTGGCTGCCAAGCGTTACAAAGAGATCTCAGCCTACCGGGTGACTGGCCAAGCAAGTGGCAAATGAAATCCATTTGATCAGTGAAAAGAGAAGCACCTTGGAAAACATCGTCCCAACTCCGTGTGCAAAGTGATGGGCTCACTGACAGCTGTTACCACTAAAGAAAGAGCATAAGCCCCGCCAGGCTGGGTCAGACCAAAGGCCCATCCAAAGCCCAGTACCCTGTCCTCCAACAGCAGCCAGTGCCCGGTGCCCCACAGGGAGTGAACACATCAGGGGATCACCACGTGATCCCTCCCCTGTCGCCCATTCCCAGCGTCTGACAAACACTGGGGACACCCCCCCTGCCCAGCCTGACTACCAGCCACTGATGGACACAACCTCCATGAATCAATCTGGCTCTTTTTTGAACCCTGTTAAAGCTCTGGTCTTAGCGTCACAGTGGCTAGTGCCTGGAAAACCCCCGTGCAATGTGCAGAGGCTGTCCAGAAAGAGATCAGAACTAGAAAAGGTACAGAGAAGGTGGCAGATGATGAGGGGCATGGAACAGCTTCCATATAAGGAGGGATTTAAAGGACCGGGCTGTTCAGGGGATAAGATAGAGGTTGAACGGGGATAAGGAAGAGGTCCATAGGGCTTCCATATAAGGAGGGATTTAAAGGAAGAGGTCTATAAAGGTGAAACAGTCCATAGAAAGGTGTTATTTACTCCTTCTCATATCACGGGACCCCAGTGAAATTACTAGGCAGCAGGCTTAAAGCAAACTCGGGGAAGGATTTTCACCCGGGGCCTGTGGGACTCACTGCCAGGGGACGATGTGAAGGTCGCGGCTGTAACTGGGTCAAAGGAGGTTCCTGGAGGATGGGCCGTGGCCATGGCATCTGGGCCATCCCCTGACTGGTGTGTTCCTGGGTCCAACAGGCTGTGTTGGAAAGAGGCGCCCGGTCCTCGCTTGCTGCCTTCCCCAAGCCAATGGCTGCCTCCCCCAGTCCTTCCCTCTCAGCAGCCCAGGCCCCCCTTTACCGTCGTTCCTGGCCCGTGTTGAGCGCTCACTTGTCCTTTCTCTGTCACCTCCAGAGCAAGGATGGCCGCGTCCCAGCTATAGGTCCGGGAGTGGGTGGGAGCTCTTGTGACCGCCCACGCTGCAGAGAATCCAGCAGGGTGGGTCTGGCTGTAACCCAGAGAACAACTTCAAAGGCCGGCCCAGCAACGAGTGGCTGCAAACTCACATGGAACCTTACATCGACGCCTGGCAGAACCAACCCTCGCCTGCTTTCCTGCCCCTCACACGGTTCTCCTACCTCTTCCCCAGGCTGGGCTGCTTTTAACCGCACGGTGCCCCATCTCCGCCTCTCCCTGGGGCAGCTGGGTGGCTTTACGGGCGAGGCGACGCCTCTGTTGCAGTTGTTAATCTCCTAATGACGAGGTGTCAGCTGTTCCCCCCCCTTTAATTAACCTTACGAGAGTATTGCTCTAGTTTGGCTAGAGTCACAGATTGAGCAAGGACTAGGTGCTGCAGAAAGAAAGAAAAAGAAAGAAAGAGCCATTCACCAGCAGTTGTTTACCACGGAGTTATTTCAACAACAGTTCTTCCACCCACGGCTGCCAGCCACCGCCAGCTCCCTTCGCCGCTCCATTACTATTTGCTTAGTGCTGATTCTCGGCCATACGCTGCACTGAAGGGGAGGCTTGCGAGACACCCATGCCAATGGGATCATGTCTTATTTCTTTCACCCACAGAGGAATCAGCCTCCCATTGGACAAAACACCTGGGCGGACCTTGCCCGCACATAGGCCTGTTGTTTGGCTGAGGAGAATCCGATATTTATTTTGTGCCATTTCAGTGGCTCAGAGCATCGCTCCCTATATCTACTTTAGAGTGTGCCTGTCTGCGAGTCTTGTCTGTGTGTCCGTCTGCGAGTCTGTTTGTCCAAGAACTCCTAAAGAGCTAAGGGCCCCCAAATTTGGCAGGCAGCTTCCTCCTCTCCTAACTTAAAGCAAGGTCGGGGTCTGGTTGTGCCAGGAGAACTGGAAGCCCCAGGAAAAGGGCTGGTTTCCATAACATGCAAAGGGAGGGGCTGCGGTTTGGAGGGACATGATACTGAAAATGCCCCTTGGGGGGCAGCGAGCACAGGGAGAGCTATCCTGCAGAGGGACCGATGGGGCTCTGCCATCTTGCCTGCCAAAACACTGAATACATAGCCCCCCTGCCCCAAACCCTTCCCACCCCCTCCTTGGCTGCAGTGCTGGGGGAAGGGGAGAAAGGAGAGAAGAGGCCCCTGGTGGCTC